GACTGTTCAACACGAGTTTTCACCCCCGTTTGCGGTCCTGATTCCAAAACATACTTTAGTCCATGTACTGCTGGTTGCTCAGTGTACAATGCACTTAATTCAGTAAGTGGTTAGCTTTGATGAGCATAAACTAATTTGGTTATTGTTTACTTTTACCATAGACGTTTGAAAACTGTTCCTGTTTCAAAGATGGAGGTTTTGCGAGTAAAGACTATTGCAGTAAAGACAAAGTGGACTGCAACAATCTTTTCCCCTATTTGGGCCTCGTTCTTCTGGGCGCCTTTATCTCATCTACATCGAGAACAGCAAACTCTCTCGTGTCATTTCGAACTGTCGATCCAGCTGACAAAGGAGTTACCATGGGAATTGCATCAGCTGCAATGGCCATTTTTGGTTTGTTTTTGATTAGATTTTTCTCTACAGTTGTACATTACTAAAAAGCTTTCTTCTAGCTTTTATCCCATATCCCTTGATTTTCGGATACTTGGTAGATTCTACTTGTCTTGTCTGGGGCTCTAAGTAAGTTCTAAGTAAGGTTTCAATTAAACACACACTAACTATGATTCACAATCAGGTGTGGAAAAACTGGCAACTGCTGGGTGTACGACAACGAGAAGTTTCGATTTTATCTGCATTTTGGTGCAATCTTTTTTATGGGAATCGGGTCAATCTTCGACTTTTTGATGATTTTTTTTCACGACAGAGTGAAAAACTTTTACGATGATGACGAAAAGGAAGAGAAAAAAGAATTAGAAGATAAATCGAATTCAAAGTTAGAAATGTGTGAAGTCAATCCAATGTACATAAGCGATCCTGAAGAAGATATTGTGTCAAATAAGTTTTAATAAACAAAAAGCTTTAATCACAAGTTTAGTGAAAAAGTGTCTTGTCTAAAGGTTAATTTGATCAGGCAAAATTTCAACATAATCCCGTGGTTGTTGCTTTGACGTAATCTTCCTTTCCAATTGTTCCCTTTTTGTGTAAGGTAATTTCAGATGACGGATTCTCACGTGCTTTATCGCATTAGATCGCTGCTCAGAAGCGTACCCACAGTCAGGCCACTTGCACACGAATCGCTTGAAGTTCAAGTGAATGCGAAGATGATCTTTTAGCGACTTCAAGTCGATGAATGTTTTGCCACAGTCTGGCCAAGAGCACATGTTGGATTTTATGTTGTTGTGACGATCCATGTGCCGCTGGAACTGGCACCTTACCATCGTTTGACCGCATTCGGGAATGGGACATTTTTTCATTCTGTTATTGTGCACCAAGCCGGTGTGGCTTTCCAATTCGGCTCGAAAATTGCCGACATACTTACAGCCTTTCTGCCGACAGGGATACTCTCCTTGAAGATGGCTTTTTCTGTAATGCTTTAGCATCATTAATCCAGATTTGAAACTCTTAGTGCACTTGCTACAGGGTACGCTGGCATCACTGTGCTCTTCCTTCATATGACAGTAAAGAGTGACACTAACGAAAATATTAAAAATGGTAATTAACGTAAAAGATAAATTGAAAACCAGTGTACCTGTTGGCAAATAGGCGATTGCAGTCATCAATTCCACAGCTAAATGGCGAAAACCCATGGCGTTCAATGAGATGGCGGTTTAAACCGTCATTTGTCTCAAAAACATTTCCGATGCAACTGTTTTCGGGGCACTTGAAAGGTAGCTTCATGTGAAAGTTGTACTCGTGTTCCTTTAGTTCAATCCACGAATTATATGATTTATAAGAGCAATTCTTGTATGAGCAGGAAAATTGAGGCTGCTGAAAGTCCACCGCGCTGCCCGAAGCACCAACATTGCCATAGTGAACCATTGTGCCACTCGCATGATTCCAATAAGAAATGGTTTGCTGCTTTTTACTTTCTGATATGTAGGATTGATTGAAATTTGCGGACTGGAACAAGTCAGGAACATTTTCCACAAACTGGTGATGTTCTTTGATATGATCCAGCATGCTCTCACTATTGGGCTGATCAATGGTGAATGTGCAGTTTGCATTAAGACATGTATAGAAACTTGGACGTTTGTGCTTTTTCACCAAGTGCTTCTTCACTTTAATAAGATCGGAAAAACGCATATCACAATAGGCACACTTGAATGGACTCAAATCAAGATGAACCTTCAAGTGTTCCATCAGAACTGAAGTGTTACTTGCTTCATATGTACACGAAGGCGAAAATTTGCAGGCATAAACTTTTGACCTATCGTTTCCATTGACATTAGTTTTGAGGTAGTCCATATATGGCAAAAGATCAGCAGTAATTTGATGAACTTGTAAAGCGTGCCTGATAAAAATAAAAATTCATTAATAACAAAGCACAGTTAAAATATTTCAAAACTCTTACTTGAGTAGACTTTTACGTGAATCAGTTCGATGTTCACACTGCGAGCAACCAAATGGCTTGAGATTAAAGTGTTTCCAAATATGCGTCTCTATGCAATTTTTCTTATTGTGAACAAAATCGCATTCAGCTACTCCACATGAATACTGTTTTTCTTGTCCATTTTGACAGATATCATAGAATAATCTACTTGCTTCAGACGACTTGTCAAAACTGCTATGATCCATTACAATAGGTGAGCAAAAAGATTGAGAATCGTTGTTGTTTAAATTTTGACTTGATGGCATCATTTCCGCTTGCAACGGGGCAACTTTCTAAAAAGGATAACGGGTAAATTAAAAAATAAATAGTAGCAAACGGCGAGTTACCTTGCTTGATTTATAAATATAGAGTGGATTTCTTTTGAGAAAATTCAATCTTTCATAAGCAGTCTTATTGCTATTTGCCACTGGAACGCTCGCTTTAGCACTAGAGCAAGTTGAAGCGACAGGGATTGTTTTTGGCTTTTTAGTTGTGGTTCTGATTCTAATGCGCTTAACTCTTTTAACTCTGCCATTTCCAATTACTGAATTTTTACGCTTTTTACCTTTTCTTGGTCTTCCTCTGGGATTTTTAGGCTTTTCGTTATTGGTTGAAACCAATTTTTTTTCGCTATTATCGTCGTATTGGAGTTCAAGAAAATTTGATGTAGCAGGGAAGTCAATGTTACTTTCTGTATCTTCTGTGTAACTATAAGTTTCATAGTCAAATGCTGGTGAGTTCTCTGAAGAAAACGAAGTAGCAGGGAGATCATTAAACGAACAAAACAGATCTGCTTTGTCACTGCTGTTCTGATATTGATTCTCAATTTCAGACACAAATGGCAGTTCTTCAACGAGAGAAGCGAAATTGTCCAAGCACTGGCTGTAGTCGTCTTTAAAGTTGTTTTGGTCTTTGAAACTTGGCTTCCATTGTTTGTCAAAATCATTGCACTTTACCGCAAGCTGAAGCAAGTACTTGAAATGCAACAAGAGTGCAATGAGCTTCTTCATGTGATCATTTTCAGCGTTAACCTTCTTCAGTTGGCCGAAAAGATTTCCGATTACATCATTTATATAAGTAAGTTTGTTTTGCTGACGATTAGAAGGTGTATCTGCTTCCAGTCGTCGATCCATAGTTCTACGACAAAGAAGAAAATAACTTAATGAACGTTCTAGTTGTCAGAGTAATCACCTACCACGTATCAGTAAGCTAAATTCTTGGAGTATTCATCTAAGATTTGTTCCTCTTCCTGTCAGACGAAGTGATTTTTTTCGCATAAATTCAAAACAAAACCTGCTGTGCCATCTATCGGGCAGGAACGCGCCTATCCGATTCATAGAAAATCAAATGACTGTTTGCCTCGTAAACAGTTCACTTTTTGTTGGTGGCAAAGCAAGACTAAAGAGATGTGTGTTCCGCCTAATCTTTTCTGGAGCAGTAAACGGGAAAACGTGTCTTTAAATTAGATCATCACCGCCGAGTGTGTGTGTTCGGNAAACGGGAAAACGTGTCTTTAAATTAGATCATCACCGCCGAGTGTGTGTGTTCGGGCGTAGAAAGAGAGAGAGAGAGAGAGAGAGAGAGAGAGAGAGAGAGAGAGAGAGAGAGCAAGGTGCCGCCAAGAGTCTCGGTGGAGTGTATGGTGGGCAGTGGGGCAACTGCAGTGACTGAGAGTCTCTGCGAGTACTCTCCTCGGGTGGCCGACGGCACACACACACACACAGGCAGAGTGAATGCATCACAGTTGATCAGTCGGCGAGTAGCAGCAGCAGCAGCAGCACTACCACCATGAACTAATTACCGCTTTCTGCCCTCCGATCACTTTTCCCACTCTGTCCCAGTAGTAGTGTGCTAGTGTCCACTTAGTGCGGTTTCCAGTGCCACTGATCACTACCAAAGACTGCCTAATTCGGCAAAACTATCTCTCGCTGTCTCACCTTGCCTGTCCATCGGCGACACGCCAACCGCATCATCGTCATCACTCACCTGTCTGTCCGTCTGTCTGTCTCTCTGTGTATGTTGTGTGTCAGCGACGGCGCCCGTCCGTCCTTCCCTCTAACTCATCGAGGTTCTCTCTTTTTCCAGGGATTTCGTCCATCACCTTCTCCTCATCTGCTCATCCCTCGTGGTAGTTTACTTTTTTTAGTGGTAATAACAACGTCTTCTGTTGGCAACAACCAGATTCACCATAACAACACTGCAAATTGTTAACAGACGGCAATTCTCATCTCTTACTGCTTTCTGACTTCACACCCCAGAGACTGGGAGTGAGGATAAATAAAACAACAAAAGACTTACACAACGACTATCTGCTGCAACCCAAGTTTCCCTTTCACTCGACTTCCAACGGACACTCTTCTCCTCCTCGTCGTCCGGCACCTTGATTGTGCACTGTGACTGTCTAAACTACCGTTGATTAGACTGTCTGCACTGTGTTTGCTCAGTGGTTACTTTGACAACGCCCGCCGCACACTTCTACCTTTGACCTTTATCACCTCTCATCCACTGGCTGACACTCATTTCCTCTATCACGTCTCCTTGGCTGCCGTTTGAGCGGGAAAAAATAATTCAGTTGACAGGGACAACAACATCATCATCAACATCATCATCATCATCATCATCAGAACTACCAGCAGCAGCAGCAGCAGCCTCCAGGCCAACGGATCAATCCGCCATTGGCGAAGCATAATATCAATTGTTTCATTAGTGGAGCAGCAGTAGCCAGTGCATGTGTCAACGGCTCGTAAAGTAGGAGCGCTTCTCCCGTCCCAAGGTGTCGTCGACAGTGAGTCTGTCAGGTGGATTCTCGCAGTGGCTCTTCTCTCAACTCACAGCTCTGTCTTCCTCTCAGCTCTACCAGACACACACACACACACACAGGCACACCATTCCCAGTACTCTCTCGAGGCGCATTGTGTGTATGTGTGTCCTTTTCTCTCGCTGAACAGTGCTCCCTCGACTGAAACAAACTGTATAACTCTCAACTTCACCGCTTCCTACACCCGCACACGCAATCTCCCATCAGTCGCTAGACAGACACTGATCGAACACAGCTAAAGAGCAGTGGCTGATGAATCAATTGAGGAAGGCAATCAGCACGGACAGAGCCGGCACAATAGGACAACGTGTATACACTGCCGTACATTGAAGCAATATGCAGTATTGAGTAATTCACCAAAGACCCCTATGCCAACCAGCCAAGGCGGCCAGCGAACCAGCTACTGTCTTCCTCCACCTCCTCCTCCTCTTTCACGGCTATAGCTGCACAACAAAACTTTGCTGCACCGAGCTTAAGACCACTGGCACTGGTCGCTATGAGCTTTTGCTACCCAGCGAGACCACCAAGTTGTCAGAAATACCTGTCACTGTTTCTCTTCCTCACCGCTTCGACCCCACTGGACGACACTAAATGGTGCAATACGTGATACGCTGAAGAAGGGAAACCGTAGCCCATATACACCGCTTTTGCCGAACAAAACCTGGTAAATGCAATCGATCTGTTCGCCAGTGCATTAATTTATAACTTCTCTCTATCTGCCGCCAACAGGCTCACTCACTCTTCCGTTTGACCAGATTATTTACGCCCACAAAATATTTGGCACATATCAAGTTGCATTTTGTTTCTCTCCACTTGTTCAGTCTTTAAATATTAGTATGCTGTGACGACCTTTTTTTATTACTCTCCGCTCACACCACTCCCAGCAACTAATAATTCTTTTGAGAGAACACGCCATTGACAGCTCGCTGACATCCCTGACTCTCACTACCGCACACCGCCTGAATTTAATTTAATTTCACTTTTGACAACTGGCCGAGTAAGGCTGAAAAATACTAATAAAAACGAAGCAGCGACTCACTGAAAGCAGTGAAAGGCAAACACCAACTTCATCGCTGAACTGTCAAACTGAAGCGTCACATTCTGTCGCCGCAAAATGTTTGCTCTCAAATCACGCATTTAATCCATCACTCCCATTGAGAACATATTACCCGCGTTCTGAACCTACAACTAACGTCAGCATCGGTTCAAGCCGGAAATTTTGCTCGTGATTGCGATTTTTGCTACCTCCTTTTCTCTCTTCTCTCCTTTGGTTTTTCCGTGTTGGTGATGCGTATTCGTCGTGAGGAGGCACATCGGGCGCTAGAGCTCCTCGAGGATTACCACCGGCGTCTCTACTCACCGGAAGACACCGAACTTCGACTCTCTATTGAGCGCATTATTCGCATCTTCAAATCGAGTCTCTTTCAGGCACTGCTCGACATTCAGGAATGCTATCAAGTGCAGGTGACTGAAGGAAAAGAGGCGAGCAGTGATAAGGGAGACGGCTTTATTGCCGCCATCAACGGCAAATCATCGATCAACAGCAACAGTGATCCGTCGGCGCTAGAGCACCATCATCTTCATCACCACAACCAACTACAAAACAGCAAAGTAGGAAACGGACTTGTGGAAGACTCGAACGAGGTGTCCGCATCTGAAGTTCAGGAGCTGTTTAGTGGAAAACTAAGCGAAATACTAGGCGCAGTGCTTCAGCACCAGCAGCAAAAAGAGCTGCAACAACAGCAGCATCAACAACAGCAGCATCAGCAGCTGCCGCCACCGCAGGTTGTGAGCACCCATCCAAAGTCCGTGTCATCGTCCGGCTCCTCGGTCGTCTCTAGCGTGGTCGTTAATAGCCGTCGAAACGGCTCAACTCGACTCAACTCCGACTCATCATCCACTGCTGAACAGACGGAACCGCATCTGACTGGACAGCTGTCGCAAACTCTACTGAGCAGCAATCGATCCAATCGAGACAGTTATCACTCAAACGGTTACGGCCAACACTCGCCTGAACCGACGGCCACGGCGGCGACGGCAGTGGCCACTGAGCATCAGCAGCTTCCGTCAGGCGAATTGAGCAGCTCTCAGCATCCTCCGAACTCTTCCGACCTGGACGCTCTAGAGCGCATCGATCGGCTGACATTAGGCTCTAACAGCCTTGGCCGGTCATCGGCTGCCTCGGCCAACCGGTACAACCAACCGTTCCCTGCACTCGGCCACGGGCACAGCAACGGCAACAACAATCAGTACAAAGACATCATTTCACCGGAAGACGTTCAGATAGTGACGGAGGAGACGGAGCGTCCTCTGGCCCTCCTCCCCCCTGATAAGATGTCCTCTGGCTCGTGGGAGTATGAAGAGATTACCTTGGAGCGCGGAAACACCGGTCTCGGTTTCAGTATTGCCGGCGGCGTCGATAATCCTCACATTGCCGATGATGCCTCCATTTACATCACCAAGCTCATCTCCGGCGGCTCCGCGGCCGCCGACGGTCGACTGCAGATTGAGGACATCATTCTGAAGGTGAACGAGACCTCGCTGGTGGACGTGCCACACTCCATTGCCGTCGAGGCGCTAAAAAGAGCCGGAAACCGAGTGCAGCTGCTGGTGAAGCGAAGAAAGTTGATGATACCGCCCTCTGCCTCGGCACCTGCCAACATGGGCGGGGAACTGCTGCGCATTGAGCTTTTCAAAGCCACCTCGAAGGGACTGGGCTTCAGCATCGCCGGCGGCGTCGGCAACCAGCACATTCCCGGCGACAATGGCATCTACGTGACGAAGATCATGGAGAAGGGCGCGGCGCACATCGATGGCCGCCTCGAGGTGGGCGATCGCCTGGTGGCCGTCAATGAGAACCAGCTGGAGGGGGTGACGCACGAGGACGCAGTGGCCGCCCTCAAGGCCACCGCCGACCATGTGGTGCTGACTGTGCGCAAGTCCACCAATCGACCAGTGCACCACCTTCCTGGTGGTGGTGGTGGTGGCGGTGTTGGCGGGAGCAGTGCCATCACCGGTGCAGGAGCCGGCGTCTCCAACAGTCGCCCGCTGAACACCCGGAACAGTTTGCAGTCACTGCCTAGTGCGGCCAGCGGTGGTGGCGTCGCCATGCCCTACCACCGCTCCGAAGACAGTCTCCTGGCGCCGGAGCACCGCACCACCACCACCAGCAATAACCGCCATTCGGCAGTGGGCGACCAGTCGCCGCTGATCGGAGGGGACAGTGTCGATGGGCGAGACATTGACCGAGAGCCCCGGAAGGTGGTTCTCTCGAAGGGCACCACAGGCCTGGGCTTCAACATTGTCGGCGGCGAGGACGGCGAGGGCATCTTCGTGTCCTTCATTCTCGCCGGCGGTGCCGCCGACCTGAGCAATGAAATGTTCCGCGGCGACCAGCTGCTGGCGGTGAACGGACTGGACCTGCGAACGGCGACGCACGAGCAGGCGGCGGCGGCGTTGAAGGGTGCCGGACAGACGGTGGCGCTGCTGGTGGCGTACCGCCCTGAGGAGTACCGCCGCTTTGAGGCGCGCATTCAGGACATCAGAGAGCAACACCTGCAGACGTCCGTCTCCACGGGCACACTGCGCACCTCACAGAAGAAGACGCTGTACGTGCGGACGCTTTTCGACTACGAACCGGTGCGCGACTCGGGACTGCCCTCCCGGGGACTGCCCTTCCGCTTCGGCGACATCCTCCACGTGACCAATGCGTCCGATGACGAGTGGTGGCAGGCGCGTCGAGTGCTGCCGGACGGCACCGACGACGCCCTCATCGGCATCATCCCCTCGAAGCGGCGTGTGGAGCGGCGAGAGCGAGCCCGCCTGAAATCGGTCAAGTTCCACGGCTCCAATGAGTACTCGGACGGCCGGTCGACGGGCACACTGGACCGCAAGAAGAAGAACTTCTCCTTCTCCCGGAAGTTTCCCTTTATGAAGTCGCGCGAGTCCTCCAATGAGGACATCTCCGCCTCGGGCAGCTACGACCACCTGACGGAGGGCGAGGAGAGCGAGCGCGGCGGCCGCCACCCGGTGAATCACGTCGACCGCTCCTCCATCAGCGGCTCCAACACGGCGCTGGAGGAGATTCGCGAGGACGGCTGTCACATTCTCTCCTACGAGGCCGTCTCCCAGGTGGACATCGACTACATGCGCCCGGTGGTCATTCTGGGGCCGCTGAAGGAGCGCATCAACGACGACCTCATCTCCGAGTACCCGGACCGTTTCGGCTCCTGTGTGCCGCACACCACCCGACCGCCGAGGGAGGACGAGGTGGACGGCCGGGACTACCACTTTGTGCCCACCAGGGAGCAGATGGAGCGCGACATTGAAGCGCACCTGTTCATCGAGGCCGGCCAGTACCGGGACAATCTGTACGGCACCTCGGTGGCGGCGGTGCGCGAGCTGGCCGTCAACCAGCAGAAGCACTGCATTCTGGACGTCAGTGCGGCCGCCATTCGCCGGCTGCAGGGCGCCAACCTCCTGCCCGTGTCCATTCTGGTGCGCCCGCGGACGCTGGAGCAGCTGCGCGAGTGGGACAAGCGAATGGCGGAGGACGAGGCGAGGCGGCAGTTTGAGCGGTCTCTGCGAACGGAGCAGGAGTTTGGAGAGCTCTTCACCGCCATCATCTCTGCCGACACGCCCGAAGAGGTGTACGCCAAGGTGAAGCTCGTCATCTACGACAACTCTGGTCCGGTCATCTGGGTGGCTGCCAAGAACCAGAAAATTTAGCATCTCCTTTCACTGGGTAAGCCGCAAGGCAACAGCTCGATGGAGCAGTTCTAATGTCTGTTTTCGTTGTCCATCTCAACCTAGGCCACACTCTCCACTGAGCTCCACTGCCACGCCGATCAGCTTCACTTTCTCTCTCCTCCTCGCCCTGAAAAACCTAGCGACAGCTGTCTTCTCTAGGAACTCATCTAAGCAATTGTGCCCGAAGGGCGCCCACTTTCACCTTCTTCTCTTGTCCACTTGAATCTGTTTCTTGCAGTGGTTAGCCCATCCAGCGAGGAAACCTTCATCATTGAACTCCGCTTCATCGTTCTTTGTCACGACCATCTAATTGAAACTTTTTTCCCAAGTCGTATGTTCGTGCCAAATGGGATTGCAAGACTACGAAACAGATGAAAGCACCGGGAACCTACAGTACAATTTTCTCTCTTTCTCTCCTCCTGCCGCTCTCTTTTCTGTCAACCGAATTTTCTTTGNTGCAAGACTACGAAACAGATGAAAGCACCGGGAACCTACAGTACAATTTTATCTCTTTCTCTCCTCCTGCCGCTCTCTTTTCTGTCAACCGAATTTTCTTTGCTCTCTCTCTTTCACACACACTTCATTCATGCCCGGACCACACATACACTCACCGACAGACCTGATTCCTCTCATCACCTCAAGCATGCCCCTCTCCTCTTTCCCTGCTTATTATTGGATCTGAATCATTATATTATTTCTCTTTCTCTCTCACTCTCTACCAGTCGAACAACGTCTTGCCCGTGTGTATTACTACTACCCCTTTGTTTGCTCCCCCAGATTGGTTTCTATTTTCACTCTTGCTCTGTGTTACTGACATATTTTCTCTGCTCGCTCGCTTCCCCTACCTTCATCTACGCTCTCATCACCACCATCAACACCACCATCATCATCTGCGGAACCATAACTCATTACGCTTTTATTCTCCTTTCCTCCTTACTGCTGGGCTTGGTTTCTTCTCTTTCTCTATTTATTAATCCATCATCGCTAATTACTGCTGACTTTGTTTTTTGTCATTTCACAATTTTACTTTCTCTACTTTCTCTCTCTCTCTCTACTTGAGATGCTAATGCTTTGACGATGAATATCGCCACTTGCTGATGATTGATAATTATTGACATATATCAGTTAAATTATTGACTAGTAAATAAATTTTTATATATTTTCAGTTATTTCACTAACAAGTACGGTTTGGTTGCGAGTAACGCTCTTTATGAAGCGTTTTCGGTTTATTTTTCCCGCCACCGTCTGTTTTGCTTTTCAAGTCGACTCGCTTCTGTCGAGCTTTTCTTGGTCATTGTTTTCAACTCATTCCAATGCTCTAAATATTGTGCATATTTGTATCCGATTGTTTATTGTCATCAAAATATCCGATTTTACTTAGTTGAAAGCATCTGTTTGCAATGGGTATCACCGGATTGCTGCCGCTAATGAAGGCCGCCACTTCTGATGTCAAGCTAGGAAAGCTGTCAGGTATTTTTACAAGAGAATACTGTGCTTAAGTTCTGAAGTTTAATTCACAATATGTTCTCTTCTCTAGGAACTGTGGCTGCCATCGACACCAATGGCTGGATTCACCGAGCTTGCTACAGTTGTGCTGACAAGGTGTACATGAATGAAGAAACAGACATGTACGTCAACTACTGTATTACCCTGTGTCGCATCCTGCAAAAGCACAACATCACGCCGATTCTCGTTTTTGATGGTCAAAGCTTGCCAGCGAAAGCGGTGACCAAGGCAAAGCGACAGCAGAGAAAGAATGAAGTGCGAAAAAAGATTGACGAAATGCTGCGCGCAGGCGACAATAAAGGCGCCCGCTGGCTGATGCGCCAATGCGTTGATGTCAACTTTGAAATGGTCCACCGAGTTGTGCAAAAGTGCCGCGAAGAGCAAATTGACTACATTGTTGCTCCATTTGAAGCAGACGCACAGATTGCGTATCTGGTGAACCATGGCATTGCTGATTACGCCATCACTGAAGACTCTGACCTGCTTGTCTTTGGCTGCAAGAAAGTGCTCTACAAGTTTGATCGTGATAATGAAAAAGGCTCCATGCTGAATCTTGAACGGCTCGACAAGTGCTTCAATAACTTTTCTGAACGCAAGTTTCAGTTCATGTGCATTCTTTCAGGTATGTGTTAAATCGCTGATTTACTTTTTATTCTAATGGCATTTCATCATTTCGCTTAGGTTGTGATTATCTGGAAAATATTCCACAGGTTGGATTAGGAAGAGCTAAAAAGTTTTTTGAGAATTTCCACTTGCCACTTTCACTTGAGACGATTGGAAAAGATTTGCTCAACTTACCTTCAGCTATCAAAATGGAAGGCAAAGTGAAAGTTTCACAAGAATACATCAAAGGATTTATTCGTGCTGTGCGGACTTTCGATCATCAGATCGTGTTTTCTCCTTTCACCGGGAATTTCACTCACTTGAAGAATCTCAAAGGTGGACTTGTGGAACACGATCAGCTAAAACTTGGAGAGTTTGCTGGAGACTTTTTTGAACAAACGGCAGACGACTTCATCATCCACTACGTTACAGGAAACATTCACACAAAAACCATGGAAAAAATGGATCCTGATTTTGTTCCCCATCTTTTGGGAGACTCTAGTGGCAAACTTTCTTGGTTCACTGAAGAGTTTCGCAAACGAGTTGAAGCTAGAAAGTCGATGAACTTGATATCCAGCAGTTTTTTTGTGCCTGAGTCGCCTCTTAAATCACAACCCAATCAAGTGGCTGACACCTCCCGAGAATTTAAACGAAAGATTTCATGTGATGTCAACGATGAGCTTTCATTGTCTAAAACGCCGGCGAAACGCATCAAAACGGTGCTCAAGTGCAGCGAAAATGAAATGTCTGAAGAGCACAAATCTACTTCTCAAGAAGGAAATAACTTGACAGTATCTACAAAGTCTCTAAAAGTTTTCAACAGAGATGTGGAGATTGAGCGAAATGGAACTCGAACGAGCCGTACCTCTTCACGAAATATCTTTCGCAAAAGTGAAACTGAACTTTTAAAATCAACAGGCAGGCAGAGCAGTGCATACTTTCAGACAAAAACAGAAAGCACTTCAGTAAAGCTTCAATATGAAGTGGTGAAAAAACAGACTACAAAATCTTCTAAATCTGCAACTCCGTTAAAGGAAGCTAGGTTCTCTGACGATTCTGACCTGGAAGCTCCTGATCTAAATGACGAGGAAGAAGGTTTTGATGCAAAAGCGAAACTGAACGAAAGCGTTTCAAGCATTGAAGATGAAGACAAGGCGGCACTGTGCTCACTGAACAACAGCCAAAGCTCTGGTTATGATTCACAGAAGCGTTCACTTAAATCAACTCCTGATATTAGATCTTCACAGACCTCAAATGACTCTTTTACCGCCATAAAATCACAATCAAGCACTTCGAGTAGAAGTTCTGCTAAACAAGTCAGCGCTCGTGCTTCAAAGCGAAGCAGTGGTCGAGCTTCAAAAACCAACACTACCTCAGTTTATCGCTCTCATGACATTCGCAAGTTCTTCAAAACAACCACTGTCAAGTCTGACGAGTGGATTGATTTAAACTAAAGTATACATCACTGACCAATTTACATACTTAATTAAGCCCTATCACCTCATTGATCTTTTTACACTGCTATNTTTAAAAACTGATAAACAGTAAAATGGTTGGTGGCGAGCGAAGCGAGCGTAACTAAGCCCTTGTTTTTTACTATATTAAATGAATAAAAAGTAATTATTTGTTGCAATACTTTGTTTTATTGAAGAGTGAATGAGTATGTGCTAATGAGTACAGTTTGTATTTAAAATTGCTCTAAAAGTTAGTAGTAGTATGTAACCAAAGTATTTGTAGTGAAAAGAAAATAATGGTTTCGGTAGTTGTTAGAATGAGGTGATGGTTTGCCGACTGGTTTCCCTCTTTCTCCAACGTCAATCCCATTCGCAGTCTTGTCCGGGTTTGTGAGTGCCCGTA